AGTGGAAGAAGAAATAAATGAGATGGTGATAAAATGAGGGATGTGAGAGATTAAGAATTAGAATTGATAATTAATTGTTTTAAATTTAAACTATTGTAATTGTAAACAGATAAAGTTATAATACAGGTTTAATAGTGATAGAAATTTAAAATTTCCGGTTCACGGAGTCACTAGTCGCATGGGGAGACTTCTCACCTCGTCGACTAGGTTTCCCTCCGTCGGTGGACCCTTATATGGGTCCAAAGTCACCCTGGAGGGTGCAACTTCTGTCGAGGAGGCTGCGGTCCGGCTACGGAAGAGCGGCGGCTCCTCCAGCTGTCCAGACAAAACTCTGAGGACCGACGAAGATCGGCCATGAAAATGGCTGATCGCCCTGCCGCTTCAGACCGTAAGTTGAACAACATCTAAGCTTTTACTGCCCCGGTGAATCCGGGTGAGAATTTTTTTTATTTTTCTCTCTTTTTCGTTTATTTTTTCGATTGTGTGCCTGTAAAGAGCTTTTGAAATTATTTCCCTGCTTGGAAAGGTGGCTTCTGCTTTTTTATGGGAACAAAGGCATTTCATAAACACTGAAAGGCTATAATCTATTTTTATTGGGACACTAAAAAGGAAAAAAAAGGAAAAAGTTTCTCTCTCCTTTCTTTTTAAGAAATTTACTATTTCTAGTTTTTTATATATATATATACATGACCTTAAAAGACAGGGGGAAAAAAGAGTTGATTTTGGAAAGGACTTTCTTAAGTTACTGAGGACATCTAGAGATAAAAATTTAATTTTGCAACTTTGCTTATTTTTTCTTATGAACTTTAAAGCACTAAAGATAAGCCCTGCACCTGTGAAGCTGTGGGGGTGGATGTTTCTACATTAAACAAAGCTTCTACAAAAAAGAAAAAGAGATCTCCTTTTAAGCTTTAATATTAAAATGGAGAAACCTCAGACACAACTGAATTGTGCACTTATATTGGAAAAGATTTATGAGACCACTGCAGAAATTTGTGCTACATTTAAAAACTGTACTTTAGAATTAAGAGCTAGAGACTCTACTATATTTGCCCAAACTGATGTCCAGGTTACAACTGATTATGACATAAATCAAAATGTGCCAGAAGAGGAATTTACAGAGATAGAAGTGGAATTTATTTCATCTGACAATCCCTTCTCCAGCAACTTAGAGAACCAGAAGAAGCAAAGACTAAGACTTCAAAATACAAAGCAACTATATTGCAAAGAGAACAGAAAAAGACGTTTACTGCTGAGGAAGAGAATTATACTCTCTCAAAGATTATTACAAGCAATAAGAATTGATCTATTGGTTGAAAGAGAAAAAAGATGCTTACTACAGAGAAAGGGACATACATTTGCTCAAAGACTACTACAAGCATCGAGAATGGATTTATTGGTTGAAAGGGAAGCGTCTTCATGGAAGCCGGTGTGGCAGAGAAAGAAACCCAGAATTAGACTCAAAAACAAATTTTAAAAAATGTTTAATGGCGTAAAAGGCAATGTTGATTTCTTGGATTGTTTTAAGGATAATGATTTAGAGCTGAAAAATGCAATTATACACATGCGTGTTTAAATTAGTAAAAATTGATGAATGGATTAAAAGGCAATGTTGGTTCTATAGATTGTTTTAAGGATAATGATTTAGACTTAGAAGTAAGAAATATACAATTATATTCATGCGTGTTTAATTTAGTTTGATGAGTTTTTTGTTTTATGGAAGTTTGTTTGGTATGGAAATATGAAAGTTAAATGTGGAATGAAAAAAGAAACTTGGCTTTATAGAGACTAAGAATGCATTTCTTGGAGTAATAGATTGATTTAGACTGGAATTTTGAAATGTTTAATTAATTAGGAGATTTTTGTGTATAATAATATGTTTTGATATGGTAATTAAATGGATGGAATTTGGTTTGTTTAATGAATGGAAATGAATTAAGTCAATGATTACGATAAGCAACAAAAATGGACTTACTGGCTGAAAGATTAAAGATAATGATCTAGATTTAGAAGTAAGAAAATTATAACTATATATATGTGTAATGTTTAATTAAGAGATATTTGTGTATAATAAAACGATTTGATAAGATATGATAATATTTTTTTAACTAAATTAGCTATTGTTGGAAGAAGAAATAAATAAGGTTGGTGATAAAAAAGGGATGAGAGAGATTAAGAATTTGAATTTATTTGCAAGAGATATTTGAAGGGGTAATATGTTGATGTAAAACATTATTTGATTATGGTAATTGAAACTGATAAAGTTTTAATAAACAGGTTTAGTAGTAATTGAAATTTAGGATAGAAATGAAATATATTAAATTTATTATGTTACTTGAGGGAAATAGAGAGATGATAGCGAATGTATTAAGTTGAGCTGTTATTCTGTGATTTTATGTTGGGAATCTTTGTTTACCCAAACACCATGGTGCGTCTCAAACACTTTTTGTTAAAACTATAAAACCAATAAAATATATTTTAAAGAAATTTAAAATAGAAATGGAATATTTAAATGTATCATGTTAATTGAGGGGAATAGAGAGGGGATAGTGAAATTTATTGAGTTGTGTTGTTTATATATTTTTTTACTTTTGAATGTTTGACCACCCAACCACCACGATGGGTCCTGGGTACTTTTTCTTAAGAATTAAAAAAAACCAATAAAATGTGTTAAAAAAAAAAAAAACTTCCACTCTCCATCTCCTTCCCTCCTCCGTGCTTCACCTCCAGCCATTGCTGCCTTTTTTCATTCCTCTTGGAGGTTGACCCCTCCCCGCATGCATTTCTTGTCTGATTGCTGCTGCCAGCACAGGTGGCTGCCACAGCAGTTGTAGATCAGCTAATGGCCAGTCTGCTTGATCTCCTCTCCCCCCACCCTCACCCTCCTTCTTCCCCTTCAGTGCAGTTGACTCTGCCTCCTCCCAAGGCTGCTGCTTTTTTTCTGTCTCCCTCTCCTGCCCAAACTGCCTCCTTTTATAGGCTCTCCTGCCACCTCCCCCTCCTCCTTTCTCATGGGGGAGGGTGAGCAAGAAGTGAGCCTGGGGCCTTTGCAGCTCCAGAGGACTCTCTCACTGCAGGTCCTTGCCTATGCTGGCTCTTTCCTTCCCCCACTACACTTGGCTAGGCAGGACTGCGTACCACCTGCCACTCATTAATGTACCACAGGTGGTACACGTATCACCGGTTGAAAAGCCCTGTCCTATATTTCTTAAGTTTATTTACATTTATTTACATTACTTCTCATACATTTTTATTCCGCAATTCTAGCCAGTTATAATACATGTCCCATATCTTGTAAAATTCTGTAGCTTCTTTGTCTTTTATTTCGAAGGAAAGTTTGTTCATCTCAGCACAGTCTAATATCTTACATACAATCATTGCATTTGTTGGTATGTTCTCCCTTTTCCAACATTGCGCATATGCAATGCGTGCTGCAGTTATAATATGTATAATAATATATTGGAGTCGTTTCTCAATTTTTGGGTTAATTATGCCTAATAAAAATATTTCGGCTTTGAGTTCAATTTGTTGTTTTGTTATTTCCTGTAACCATCTTCTTATCTGCTCCCAATAGGTCTTTGCTTTGGGGCATTGCCACCACATATGATAAAATGTTCCTTCTTTGTTTTTACATTTCCAACAATACAGATTCATATTTTTGTATATTTTAGCCAATCTCGCCGGTGCTAAATGCCATCTGTAGAACATTTTCTATTGGTTTTCCTTGTATGCAGTTGACAACATCAATTTGTAATTTATGTTCCATGTTCTTTCCCATTCCTCTAATCCTATATTTCTACCTATATTTCAGGCCCATGCTATCATCGGGCCCTTTACTATTTCTTCTTCCAATTCAATTTCTAATAGGAGTTTAAAGGTTTTTGTTAAGAATTTTTCTCCCTTATTTGTCAATATTTTATCCAATTGTTGTAATGTCCGACATATCCCATACTCCTCCATATCCTTATTGTATTTTGATTTTATCTGTGTATATAGTCAGCAATCAATAGTCATTCCCTGTTCTTTTAATTCATCTCTTGATCTTAGCTTCCCTTGGTTGTCTAATAATTCTTTGTACCTTATCATCTTTGTTTTATCTAATGTGTTTGGATGAATCATCGCCTCCATTGGTGAGATCCAAATTGGGATTTTCGTGTAGTATTTTTTTTTTACTTTTTCCCATATCTAAATTAATGCATCCCTTATCTGATGTCGGAGGAAATATGTATGAGTTTTCTTATCTTTTCCCCATAGAAAAGCATGCCATCCAACCTGTAAATCATGACCTTCAATTGTTAAGACCCTTTTGTTTTCTAGGTTTATCCAGTCACTGATCCAAAGCAATCCCGCTGCTTGATAGTAAATTTCCCATTTTGGGAGTCCAAGGCCACCTCTACTTCTATTATCCTGTAACGCTTTAACATTTATTTGTGCTTTTTTACCTAGCCATATAAATTTATTAATCATTTTATTTAATTCATAAAAAAAAATTCCCCAATTTTATTGGAGCTGTTTGAAAGAGGTATAACAATTTTGGTAAAACATTCATTTTAATCGCCGAAATCCTTCCTAGTAATGATAATTGTAATTAGATTTTTTCATTTAGAAACTTTTGATAATCTTCCAAGGATCTTTGGTCTTTCTTAAAAAAAAAACTGCTGCAGTAAACAGTACCACCTCAGAGTTTTGACAGCATGTTTCATTTTCCAAAGCGTTCAGCACTCTAAAATATTATGTTGCAATAGCTTTTATTAAAACTGCCATATTCTGTACTTAAAAAAATACAGAAACATAACTCAATGCTGTAATAAGGAAGCTTTCAAAGAAAAAAAACAAAGCCATACAATCTACAAGGCCTTGTTTCTGCTAGAAATGGAAGGGTAAAGGAATTTTTTTTTGGGACATTTGCAACACTAGATTGGAATCCTACTTTGAATCAAAACCAGTTCAACAGGCATATTATAGCTATGCCAAGCTATGATAATAAATTAAAAGATTACCTTTCTGGTTTGTCAAGGACAAGCTGAAAATCACAGGATAACTAGAGCCAATTTACCAGAATGAGAATGATAATTGCAGAAGGAGAAATGAGCCTTGGTCATGTTGCTTTAATTCATTTTCCACAGATACCACATCAATCTGGCTGTCAATTTTTCGGATGCTTTTATAAAAAAATCTGAAATACAAGCAAAGAGACTGTCTGGTTATTGTTTAACTACTTGCAGAATTGGTGTGATCAAAACAAAATCCGAAGCATGTCATTCAATACCTCACTGTTATTATTTAAAAGTATCCCCACAGTCAATAAATATTTGATCAAATTAATGAATTTTAATGGAAAGAAAAAGTTCTCTTTAGACCAAAACATTCTGCAATAGAAAAGGAATTTACAATTTAATTGCAAGTCAGAATTCTATGGTTCCAAAAATGTTACTTCTGGAAGTCTTAGCAGCAGCTTCTCTGAACAAGTATTGTGGCAGGAGTTTTCATAGCCATTGCCTTGGGAGGAACAAGGCATCTTGCAGAACAAGATGGTTATGGCATATGTATTAATTAAAAATATACTGGATAAATAACAGAATATAAAATTGCTACTGAAAGTTTGGGCATATAATCCATTTCAGTTGCACACTGTATTAGCATCCAGATTTGCCATTTTATTTCTAAAAATTTGGAAGTTAGCTGCAAGAAAAGGTGAGAAATCAGGTCCCTCAGAATTTTGAAAAGTTTGGTTCAGTGATTTGCAAGATTCCCATCTCAAATTATATCTAGAAGAGCATACCTAAGGGGTATGCTCTTCTGCAGTACTGCAGGTCACTTTAGCTGACTGTGTTCAGCAGGTCAGCGGTTCAAATCTCACCGGCTCAAGGTTGACTCAGCCTTCCATCCTTCCGAGGTAGGTAAAATGAGGACCCAGATTGTTGGGGGCAATGTAAATATATATATATATACATTGCTTACTGGTGTACACCACTTAGAGAGTGCTTGCACTTAAAGCGGTATATAAGTCTCATAAATAAATAAATAAATACAAAAATATATTGTCCTATTTAAAAAAAAAATTGTGAAGCATATAGATGATGCATGAAAACAAATGCACTGGAAAAGAGGGCATAGAAAACTATACATAGCAATTTGTGCAAATATTTTCTGCCAAATTTGAAAAAGAATGGGCCAAATTTGCAGCCCATAATAAAAGAAATTCAACAGAATCAAACTGATAATAATCAGAAATAAGGCTTCCTCATTCTTCCCCATTAAAAAAAAAAAAATCAAAACTAGCATAGCTGGGAGATTTTCACTACAAAGAAGCAGTTTATTTCCTGTTTGCAAAATATTTGAAACTAAACAACACACTTTCAAATGGCACAGGTATAAACTTAATACAACAGTTGTTTGTAAATTTATGAACACACAAAAAAAGATCTTGTGTATGCATGGCTTTAATGATGATTAAAACTACACAAGCACAAAAATCCAATCTAAGTCCGAACTCTCATATACATTCCAATTATATAAACAGGAATATCAGATTTTAATAACTAAAAAGAAATCTGCATTTTAACACATTGTGATTTTTTTTGAATATATTAAATCAAAATGAAAATTGCCACTCCAGGGAATTATGTATAAAACAGCGACTTATTTGTTGCACAGAATCAAGATACAATCCTAAAGAATGACTTAATGAATATCATTCTTCCCTATCATTTAACTGAAACCTATATTGCTCACAACAAACACAACTTTTTAAACTACAAAGTTTTATCCATCTAGCTAGAGCAGGGATAGGCAACCCAAAACACTCAAAGAGTTGGGTCCTCAGGCAAACAGTCGGGGAGGGGAAGCAGGACAGGAGGCAATGGCTCTGACGGCAGCGGCATGGCCTGGCCACCGTGTCCTCAGCCAAACGGGCGGGGAGGAGGAGCAGGATGAGAGGCAGCGGCTCTGGCGGCAGTGGCGTGGCCCAGCCACCGCGTCCTCAGTCGAATGGACGGGAAGGGGAGCAGGACGGGAGGCAGTGGCTCTGATGGCGGCGGAGCGGCCCGGCCTCCGCGCCCTCAACCAACTGGGCGGAGAGGGGGAGCAGGACGAGAAGCCCCCGGCCTGGCCGCCGCCCCCGCCACGTCCTCAGCCACTTCGCCGTCGCAAGAGGAGGGTGCCAAGGCTGGGTGCACCATGGGCAGCCACACCAGCAACGGGGAATGCCGCTGTGGGGACGAGGGGGGGGTCCCGACCTGCCGCCGGCTCCGGAGCTGCGGGTTGCTGACCTGTGAGCTAGAGTATCATGTGGAATATATCTGTTGAAGGAAAAGTCTTCATCATGGGTCAGTCCAAGCCGGGAATAAACAACATGGTGACTGCTTTAGAAAGAAGGTGGCAGTTTACTGAAAAGGAGAGCCAGACAGAAAAATGGCTCTGAAAAAAAAAAGAGAATGAGCACATGTAAGGAGTAGGTTTTTATACCCTCTGGAGTCTTTTGTTTGAAGTTGTTCCTGTGGCATGAACTTTGACCTGAGTCTGAATGTGCCTTTCTGGTATTCTGATGGTGGTGGGTTAATCTTATTATGTCTCAAAGGTCATATCCTGCTTCCCTGGGCTGTGGCTGATGACTCTTAGATTTTTGGTGTTGATTCTAGGGATCTTTCTTCCTAATCCAAGTTTCTTGATTCCAGTCTTTCTGACAAGATTATCATCTGCATTTCTACAGAGCTGGTTTTTGGTTGGGGGAGGGAGACTTGGGGCTATTAAGAAAACTGGGCATGCTTTTCTGCCTCTTTAAGATCTTTGAGGAAATATATTTTTCTGCCCTTTTAATATTTCCTCCTCTGGGGGACTGACTTCCCATATATCTGAACAAATGTCATAGTCTGTTGCCAACACCAAATAGATAGCCAGTTTGATCTAGTCAGTGGTTAAGACACCAAGCTAGAAAAAGGGAGACCGTGAATTCAAATCCTACCTTAACTTAACACTCTCACAGGGTTGTTGTTGTGGAAAAAATAGGAGGAATTTGAGTTGGTTATGTTTACCACCTTCAGTTTTTGTAAAAGTAATAAAGATGGATACAAGCAAACAAATACATAAATGCCCTTTGAAGGAACCCTCTTAACCTTTAAATCTACACAAAGCTTTCAACAACACAATGCACAGAGGAAGTGATACCTTTTTCTTTCTAAAAGAAAAACCTAAAGGTGCCACTTCTCAAGTTTTATCCAAGAAAACATTTTTTTTATAATTTGCATCCTGACTTTACGTAAATGAACTTCTGCTAGAATAATTCAGCTAAAGCTCCCAGAATTCCCCAGCTAGAATAGAGTTGAATTCCATGCCTTAAAAAATTGCTGAGGTCAAGAACATTGAACTAAAGGAGCTTTCCTACTATGTATATGGATTAACCCACTGCAGTTTCCATGCAAACTTTATAAAATGTGTTATAATCTTGCCCTAATGCAAACTTTATAGGTTGTGTTATAGGTTGCCCTAACACCTATACTATGCTGCTTATAAGCATGCAGAAAAAATGATACAAATTGATTAGAAGGTCCCCACCATAGCTGATAAATATATAATAAATTTGCCCTTCCTATAGCAACTACTACTGAATAGACTCAATCCTGGATTATAAATTTTTAATCCAGACTATTGCACAATTATCAATATCTGATTTTAGATAAAATCAGAACTTATTACAGTGGATATAACAACACAGATGATTCTCCCAAAGGCCAAATTCTATGAAACACTGCAGTCACACATGGTAACTGAAAGTGCTCTACATAAAAAAAAAAAAAAGCGGAATTGAGTGTGGGTTTCCCCTTAGCCACTTCCTTCTTTCCAAAACTCTCGTCAGCTGCGTTTCCCTTTTGCAAAATAACTGAATCCCAAATAAGAGAGGGCAGGGAAAGTTGAGGGATGGCATTTTGCAGAGAAAAGCAGCTATCTAAAAAGCACTAAGATTTGTATTCCTCATTCTCTCTTTTTTTTTTTTGTTAAAGCATTGCTCTTAAAAAGTGTTTTTTAATAAAAAAAAAAAGGCATTGGGTAACAATATGATATATTTTGTTATTGGAAGATTTCCTGTGCATATTGCTCAAACGAACTGGAGTATATCAAATAAGAAGTGAAAAAACATATATTAGCAATACTTTTAATGATATCAAAACCTATTTATTCAAATACCTTTTTATTACGCTGCAAAATATACAAAGCAAACATCAATTCAATGCTTATATTGTATTTATGCAACACCTTTCAAATGGCCAAAATATCACATAGGCAATATCTAAATATGATGACTATAGAAATTATTACGCTTTTCCATTTTTCAGCAGGAAGCTTATTCTATTTTTTCTGAGTCCCTGAGTAACACATGGTTGTCTAACCTTTTGACTTGCCTGGGCTGCATTGGGTGAAGAAGAATTGTCTTGAGCCGCATGCAAAATATATGTTTAATGTATATAAATAACAAACTTCCTTTATTTTGTACATTTTTATTATCTTGTGGGGCCTCTGTCATGGTTCCGACAAATGAAACTCTTCAAAGAACTTTGAGGCATTGTTTATCTTAAAGAATCTTTATTCGAGTAGCCTGGTACATGATCGAAGCCAAAATCTGAACTCCCCTCCCCTTAGCACATAGTATCAAGCACAATTCCCTCTTCTAATTAACAGTCATAAATCACATTCTCCAATTAGTTTGAAATGCAGGCTTTCCCTCCAGTTCTCCAACCCATTTCTTATCATCTCTTATTTCAAAAAACTCTGAGTTCACACACTATTATAATATTGTTATGTCTAATTAACTCCCATTACATTCCTCCTCCCTCTCACCAGTATCATCTAATTCTAAGTCTAATTCTAAGAATAAAGCATATTAAAGAATAAAGCATAAGAAAGAAAAGGGCTGCATCTCCATATGTTGTCAAAGCAAGAACATCTGATTTAGCAGCACTGATAGCCGCTTTACTAGCTGTCCAGGCATGGGCCATGGACTGGACACACTTGCTATAAGATCTGTTTTATATGTCCTTTATATGTCTATTGTCTATTGTTCTACAAAGAAATAAGCTTCAATCTAATCCTGCTCAAAACATTCAGTTGCAATGCTGCAGTATAGATTTTCTTAAAAACAGTGCTATTGATAATTATAACAGTAAACCTTAGAAAGCTTAA